ATATATATATATATTGATTTTGCATTCGATCTGTCATTTGTTCACAATTTATTGACTTGAAAATATGTCACGTGTTATGTCATATCTTTTCTATCTCTTCAATTTCAAGTTTGTAACTCTATATATATATATACATATTTTCAAGTCAATAAATTGTAAACAAGTGGCAGATCGAATGCAAAATCAAATTTAGTCTGCCATTTATACAAAATATAGAGCATTCGATAGAAAATCAATATTATTAGTAAAATTAGAGATAAAGAGAAATGTTGCAAAATGTGTGTGGATTTCAAAAAGTAAAGCATTTCTCTAGTTTTGGAATATTTGTTTGTATCTTTTTGCTAAGAAGAATGCAAAAAGAGGAAAATAAGACAGTAAATAGAAACAAGCGTTAAGATTGATTCGAGCGACATATATTATGAAACAAGATATTATACATGAGTGTATGACGGAGTTTGCAGCTAAAGACAGTAAATGGGGCGCAAACCTTTTTTTTTTCTTGAGACGGAATCGAATGTACATACACATGTTGCGGAGGTTGTCAACCCCTGAATTGGAAAGGCACGTCAGTTCTTTCTGAATGATACTAGATACTGCTCATCTAGTATCGATACGCTACTGATCATCTTGCAAACGTGTTTACATAAGAGTGATTGCTTTTGCATTTAACTATAAATAATTTTTTCGGTGAAATTACTGTCTACTAACAACTGCAATTACATATGAGTGTCGACAGAAGAATATATAATGGCGAAAAATGTTATTGTTATTGCGCGAAGATGTCACTGGTTGATTGATATTCCTATATCCTAGAATGCTCGCTTCATAGAATTTTAACGTACTTTTATACGAATCTCTATAATGAAAATATGAAGATTCCGCAATTTTTACTCCACAGTTGAAATGAAATGTGAATCTTCATGCAATGTGAGTCTTAGTTGTAAAAAATACGGCGGTAGGTCTTCATTGTTCTTCTTTGTTCAATATTGCCTATTTACGGTTTATGTGTATGATATGTATATATATATAT